GTGGGCATGGTGGTGTTGGGTTGACGGTTGGACTCAATGATCTTAGCGGTCTTTTCCAACCTCAATGATTCTATGATTCTATATAGCTGTATTGGTAACACTGCTTTTCTAGTAGTCTTGTTTCTGAAGTGATGGGGAGCTATCTACGTGTTACAGACAATTTCCATAGAAAGTGGGCTGGTTCCTGAAACTTAGCCTATGCCATAGTCCTTCACTCAGCTGTTTTTCATGTGTTGGTGTATGTATGTATGTAACAAATCTTTACTGAATGTTAGCTAGCGATGTTCTTAACATAATAATAGATAGCTTGTGGATGTTCGGTAATGTGCTGCAACAGTTAATAAATTGTAATGCCAGATGTGATATCCTGTGGATGGCCACCTAAGAAAGCATCATTTACAACACAACAAATACTTAAAAGGACAGAAATATTGAGAATGCAGCCTTAGAAGATAATCAGAATAGTGTAAACTTGTATCCAAAAGATACACTGATTGACTGATGCCTCAGTGGATAGTTACTGTGCATATGAAGGCTTGAGATCGTATGTCACCTTTATATATTGTGTAGTTTGGAGGGTGAAGGAATTAACCAAAACCCTTGTATTCTTTCCCGAAAGGGTAAATTTATTTCCAAGGAGGCTGTTTCTTGCTGAACACACACTGCATTACTGTCAGTGCATGTTGTAATTTCAGTTGTTCTGGGTTTACACTTGACTGAAGAAATTACAATAAGTATAAATAATGAGACTGAGATTCTTTTGTAGTGGTACCAGCCAAAGCAGATGAAGGGACTGTGTATAAGAGGAGACTTAAATTATTATTTATGTAAATGGCCCCAGACAGTACTAAATGGTTAAATACCAATTGAAATCTGCAAAGCGGATAGATACAATGCTATTTGCATTACAGGTGGTATAACTTTTTTCAAATCTGGGTGCTTATTTTTCTGGGAAAAAATGAGAACTCAGCCCATAGGCGTTGTCTTGTCTTGGAAAAAGTCCAAACTGTACACTTCTAGATGAAAATCTCATTTTGAGTGTTGTTAAAACTAACAATCGGGCAATTTGAATAAAAAAGGTTTCTATGCAATTTACACTGAATTAAGTATTTAATGACAGGTCATTATATAAAACTGGTTTTGATGAATTGTATTGCATTCAGGAATACTGATATAGTCAGGCATTTTGATCCTTTCTGCTGTTTTCTCTTTTTAAGTCTCTTAGACATCTGGATTCAGTTTTCTTATGTAGTTTATAAAGGAACAAAGTAAAGACAAGGGGGATTTAAGTGTTTGCTTTTATGTAGAAATCAAACAGAAAAAAGTGGAAGTTCCTCTGTAAGTACTTTAATAATAGGGTTTCTTACATGTTTTAGGCCTATATGTGTACATGAAACCATGCTATTTGAAAATGTCTCTGATACAGTTTTTTGGATATCGTTTAGCAAATGGCAGATTGTTTGGCATCTTCCATTTAAATCAAGTACGGAAATATTAGAAGGGTTTTTTTCTCTGTATAAATAGGAACCTTGAAAGAAAGCCCTCCATTTCGCCAGTGCTTTCATAAACCAGATACATGAGAGATGAATATTATGTATAATACTTTATTTTCTTGGTATGGTTTCTAGTGAATCTATACAGCCAAAAAAAATAATAGGATCATGTAGAAAAGAGAAAGAGCATGGAATACTTCAGTGGCAGCACTCCAGGAAAGCTACTTGTTCTACAAAAGGGATTCAGCAGCTCTGGTGAGTTCTAGCTCATTGTTGGTTCCTGGCCATGTTATGTAGCCAGTTTTGTGGCCAGTTATGTTTAGTAGAGCTGGTCCAACTTTCTACTTTTCTGTGAAATTGCCAGTGTTTTCAATTGGCAAATAGGTATTTTCTGGGAAATCTGACACTACCTTTTCTACCTTGAAGCCCTTTTTGGCTGTGATCTTTCATAAACTTAGTTTTCGGATAGCGTATACTTGAGCTTGCAGGATAAGGATGTTCATTGTTTTGGCAGCTGTCATTAAAGTAGAATGCATTTGGCACCAAGTAGTATGTAATTGGTTTGGAGATTGTCCTCACCGACAGTAAGAAATAATTGAATTTTAATAAATTCATGGAAGTTTATACTCGGAAGTGTTTCTCTATGAGAAAGAGAACGTAGAAGTTACTAGTACTTAGTTATGCAGTTGAATCAGGTTCTTTTTGATAGTGAAAAGAAGGCTGTTCCTGAATTTAGATTTCAGTCCAAAACTGAAAAAGAAAAATCTTGGGGATTGTCTAGCTCTCTGTTGATACTTTAGCTGTAGATAGTTCAGCATATGCAGATTTTCTAGTTTTAGATTTCGAATGCTTTATATTTTAAAGCATTTTAAGTTTATTTTAAGTTTTGAGTGTATTTTAAGTTTAACAGCAAAGACATGGAAAAAGATATAATTTAGAAAGTTGAGCTTGATTAAGGTCGGAAGTCAGTGAGTCTGTTCATATTCACACTCTTGAAAGATTGAGGCAGCTAAGAGATGGGAGTGCATTTCTTCCTTCTTCCCACCCTGTACTCCAAACTTTGCAAGATTTATAAAGGTTGATGTTTAGATCATATGTGTCTAAACCTATGATACTTTATATATATATGTATGTGTGTGAATGTATTCTTTATATATATATAAAGTGCAGAGTTTCTGCAGTGAAAAATAGTGTTTTATTTTTAGAAAATCTGTGGCTACAAATTAATTTCCTTAGCAACTTTCCATCAAACAAACAGCCTGCTCTTCCTCATTCCCAACCAAAACAAACTTAAACTGGCTTATTAATTTAGGCAGTTTTCCCATGAAAAATGGGATCTGCCACAAACGTTTGTAATCTGCCAGGTCACTGAAAAAAGTCTCCGTGCATAAAACATGAAAGGACATCTTTTAAAAAATACCGTAATTTTGCAGTGATAAAGTTGGTGATATTTTTCCTCTACAATTGTTATATTTCAATTTTACAGAGTAAGAATTTGAGTCTCTGGTACTCTGTTATCTCTGTTTATTCATTTTATTTGATTATTTCTGTGAATTGCACAGCATAATAAACTGGTGTGCATAATTACAGTGAGCATAGCTATCTCAGGAGGAGAGGCAAAGGAGACAAAACTGGCAAGCGGCTTTAGGATTCAGCACAATGCAAAACAAAAATATTGCCGATTTGAGCAAGTTTTTACACCTAAACTCATTTTGATGTAATGCTTCTCTAATGTAGCCCTTTGTAGCACAGGATGGTGCCAGTTGTGCTATAATGTAAGTTTACATAGTTTATATGGCTGAACATGAACAAATCCTGTACAAATAGAGTAATGAAAAAAGTTGCTAAGTGTCCTGCAGGAAGCAAGTATCAAGTTTACTGATAGTTGTGTTGACTGTAGCCATGGGCAGTTCAGCGTAATCATTTCAGCCAAGAGCTGACAACTCAGAAATGAAATCTTTGCTCTCTGTTTTAAAAGGAAACAGGACTGACAAAACATCTGACTAATCTTCCCTTTTCCATCTGTTTCCATATACCTGTTAGAATAGATAATTGTTCTGGCTCTGATTTTCCAATATGCTGAGATCTGCCAGGCTCTGCCCTTGGTATAACTCTGTGTATTTCACGTGCTCTGCTGACATTGATGATTCTATTAGAAAAGTACAGTGGTGAATATAAACAGATCTATGTTAATTTTAAGGTCCGCTAGAAACACGTGACAAAGGAATCTATTCTGAAGAGAAAAAGGACAGATATTGTAATATCAGGAATTTTATTTTCAGGGTTTGAGGATGACACCCATTGGGTTTGTTTTTTCCAAATCAGAAGCTAATGCACACATCTTGTCTTCCTTTGTTTCAAATGCTGCACCTTCCAGTCATTACAGCAGCGTATCCCTTTCACTCGAGTAACTACTATATAGCTGAAATGGCTCGTAAGCATTGTGTATAAAACAAAATTGATAATTGGGACTCAAAGTTTGATTGCTGCCTCTTTAGGCAATTTAAATAACAGTTAAAGAGTTTCTGCTATGTGGATCCTAGTGGTTTTAAGACTCAAGTGCAAAATCAGTACTTTCCTAGTAGGATGATACAAATTTGAGTTCACCTGCTTTCGGCTAAGAGAGAATATTACAGTCTAATCTGCCTAAAAATAAGCCATAACATCTCCCTCAGTAACTTCCTCATCATGTCTGTGGTTTCCTTTTTAGCTTCAACATCTCTTTCAGAAATGCGAAGTCTTGGTTCAAAAACTGTGGTGTTGAGGAATAATTGCAAATCAAGTATTCCAGCAGCTACTTAGTTTCACTTAAAAATGTATATTATTTTTTCTTTAGTCTGCATAAAATTAAATTGTTTTCTGCATAGTTGTAATTCTCTTAAATGGCTGTGTCTTGAAAATTGGACATACTTGTTTGGGAAAAAAAAGTCTCCAGAGCTATGTCTGTTTCTGTGTTGAAGTTCTGCTATGTATTTTGGGGAGTTGATTTAACATCTCACTAAGTCAGCCGTTCAGGGGCATTTTCATATTCCTGAGTTGCTTTTTTTTTTGTCAGTGGGGATAGTTAAACACAGTCTTGATTCTGGGTTTTTTTTTTAGATTCTGCTTTCAGTCTTTTTTATGATACATTCCTACAGTAATTTTCAAGTAATAAATATAAATGCTGTAGCAAAACAGAGTATCAGTTTGACATCTAAGTTACTTAAATTTCAGGAGAAGTTGTTTAAAAATGTTTCATTTTCGCATTGTTTGAAATTTACACAAGCTTTTCTTTGTTAGGTTGGATGTGTGAGATCTGCTTGTCTGCTTGAGCTCCTTCATGCGTTTCCAGGGTATTTCCACACAAATACGCTTAATCAGCTTTTAGGAGGAGTCTGTTCTATAACAGGAACTCACAAGTGAGCCACAGCTTTTGGGTGAAAAGGAGGAGAAGCTTTGAAAAAATTATCAGGTCTTTGAATTGGGAAGAGAGGATGTCGGGGGTGGAATAATTCAGGAAAAGTTCCTGTCCCTTTTCCATGCGGGTTAACATCTCTGGTTTAGACTGAACATTGTATTGCAAGGGGATTCAATAAATTACTATTAGCTATGTGCTCTCTTTCAGTATTTCCAGGCATTTGGGCCTGTGAAGTCCCTTGATGCAAATCCCCAGTACTTCTTTTTTCTTGTATGTATGCAGAGAGAGATTGGATTGATGTTAGTAAAAAGGATGAGCGTCTGAATCACGAGTTGTGAGAGAAAGCACACTGCCTGCCTTTCCAATTGTCATTTTTAAACTATATGTTAATTTACATAATAATTTGAGGTTCTTGGTGGGGTTTTTTTGGTTTTTTTTTTTTTTCTTCTGGAGTGCCTGGAACACACGGTAAGGATCAGCTTGTCAGGACGATGTGTTTTAAGAACTGAAAGAATAAATGAGAGAAGCAGTCTCTGAAACAGTACTTGAAGTTTATTCCCATTACTTAGGTGTTACAGCTTTGTTTTAGGAAGATGAAAGTGTTGGTTCTTGAATATGCTTGTAAATTGAGACAGTCAACCTGCTAAGGCGACATTCTTTTCACGCTAGATGTCAGTGTTAACATACCTGTTCTGTAATCTCAGGTGTAGTCATTCTGTTGTCCTCATGAATACACCTGTATTTAATACTTCAGTTACAATTTATGGTCAAAATGTCAAGACAGTAACTGCAAATAATGATTTGTATGTTGACCCTTAATGGGCGGCCGTCTGTAAATCTTTTTCTTACTCTTTTTGCCCTCTATTGCACCAAGTAAACCCAGGAGAACCAGGTTGGTCTTTGTTAAAATATCTGCTACAATCTTTCCAATAGCTGGATTTCTCTTTCATTTTAGTTTTCAATAAGATGGCCTTGAAAACCTGAAAGATAGTAGATGGGTGATAACTGCATCACTCAAAATTAAATCCACTGGGGACATCATAGTTGGTTTTTCATCCTCTCAAACTGTAAATAACTAGCTGACTAGTAGTAATTCATAAGATGTCTCATAAGGTCATTTGTTAATGTGTTACTTGAGCATGTTGTGAGACTACTCAAAGGCATGTGGCTATTTGCCTTGTTTCTTTTGGCTTACCAAAAATTTTTTTTAGATCGCCTATGTTTCGTCTGGGGCTTTGTAGTGGTGACCTTAATGTAGATTTCCTGGTGGTTGAAACTGGTCTTGTATATCAGGAAGTATGGTCACTGTTTTCTGCCTGTGGCCGTAACAGTGACCACAGCCTATCTTCCTGGATAAAAAGCCTCAGTGAAGGTATTGTGGTTAGTAATAATAAATAGCATGACATGATAAGCAGTGGATTAAACACTGTTCTTTTCTGTCTTTACCTTCTGTAGAACCTATTATTCTGTTACTCTGTAAGTTAACCATTGCTTATTTACATTCTTTTAAGTGTATTTTTCTTTCAGGATTTTAGCTGTCAGTAGATTTGTTACTGTTCTCTCTTCTTTTCCATGACACCTCTAAGTGTCCAGAAGTACTTCCTTTGATATCAAGAGAAGAGGAGCTGCCAAATGTTGTCCTTCAAAGCATTTGGTATTTTGGGGACCTTGAACCCAAAGGAGGCAGCAGTTGGGTTCAAGGCCCAAGGTTTTATTGGAATATAAGCACAAATGTTTTTCAGGAAACTTCTTAAAGTTTTATTGCAAGAGTAGACGTACCTCAAACATATTTATTGGTGCCATTTTTTCACAATGAGAAGTAGTATACTTCTAAAATAACACATTTAGTTCCTGTAAGTTGTCAGCGGCTGGAGAGCCTCAGGCAGTGGCAGGGGGGGCTCGGCAGGTTGCCTGAGACTGTGTTCCTATAGCTAAGGAACTTGGTGGCCACAGAGACCAACTTGAGTGCAGGTGGGAACACTGTAGAGATGCGCTCTGTTGGAGTTTGTGTGACTGTATCTACAAATTAATAAGTGCGCAGTTAGCTTCCATTTTTGGATATATAAGGGAAGTATTGGCCATACAATTAGAAACACGGTATATTTTTCATATAAAGTTTTAACGGCAACACAGCAGGGTTTGATCATGTAACTTCCTTTTTATTTTTGAGTGTAGCTGTAATGCAACTGAACAAACGCATTTTTCCAAAAGTAGTAAAAAGAAGCTACAGTTTTCAAATTCTTTTTTTAATTTTAGAAAGCTGCACATCTGCAGAAGTTGTTGTTGCTGTTGATGTGAACACTCTTGCCAATGAAGTTTATAAGCACAACTTTCCCGGCACGCCATTATGGGCAAAGACAATTGAGGTGAGTAATGAATGCCTTTTATGCTCTAGTCTGGCATTTGTAGATGTAGGTTGTCTTCACTATCCTTGTTACTAATAAGAGAAACAAAAAGATTTAATTTATGTTGTTATGAATATAGCAGTTTTACAATAACTTTGATTTCTTGTGCTGTGGTTGCTTGTTGAAGTTAGAGGGATACTCACACTGCAGTCTTTTCCTGAAAGTCTTGACTGTTGCATCAAGAAGGGTTACATGAATGTCAAGAGGAATGCTTAGCAGCAATAAAGGAATGACAAAAATAATATTTTTAGGTTAAAAAAATATTTTCATGTATTTTGAAAGAATTTAATTAAATTACTTGGAGGCATGCCTTCATTTTGTAGTTATAGTTGAGCTCAGTAAAACACAAGAAAATATACTGGATGGGACAGTCTTGCGTTTTTTTTGTGGGCTCAATAGATCAAATGTTTTACGAATTCTGTCCCTTTTCCAAATTATTTGAAGAACAACTAGGTAAAATCGGCTTCTATTCTGGTAATTGAGGGGCAAACTAGGCATGTGGTTTTGCCTGGATTTAGTTAGAAATTACTGTGTAATTTTAAATCTTTCACAGTTTTACAACGTAACAGTAAAAGATACTGAATTTATTTTAAGACACCAACTTAAATAAGACTTAAATAGGTGGCTAAAGGTTAGCTGCTTATTCAGCACTCAATAATAACAGGCTAAATGATAGTTTAAAGTTTTATATGGGAAAATATAGATATGCAGATTATAGTGAGTAAGACCTTCTTTAAATTTATTGGAAAAGTAGCAGCTTTTGTCTAGTTTCCATGGGCAGTTATGTTACATTTGCTACATACATGTCCCTCGAAATGTGTAAGGTGGTGATTTCTTTGCTTAGCTCATAGTTACGTGATCATTATCCTTCTCCTCTCCTCTTGCCCCTTAGTATGTTGTACTATGTGTTGCTTAAAATTAGTCTAGAGGAACTTCTACCTGTGTAATTAGTTCATGCCACAGACCTAATTCTTTCTCCTCTGAACAGAAATATTTTTGCAGAGTAGAGCTTTCAGCCATATAATATCTTTGATGGATTTTTACTTGGCAAAAACTAAAATGAAGTAAGCTTTACAGGATGCATTGGTAGTGAGCTCCTAAGAGTTAAAACTCACAGTCTGGACCTGTAAAAATGACCATGTTAACACTTGAGCTACTTTTCTGTTCAGATATTTTGTCTTTTGAGAAGATCTAGTATTTTTTCAGCTGTTTTGGATATGTTAAATTTTTTTTTTTATGTACAAAGACTTCATATCTGAATAATGGTACTTTATTTGGAGGAAATAACTAGTTGGTATTTTGATGTGATCTACTGAAAGAACCGCTACACCTCTTCTGAAAGAATGACTTGAGCTACTTTTCTGTTCAGATATTTTGTCTTTTGAGAAGATCTAGTATTTTTTCAGCTGTTTTGGATATGTTAAATTTTTTTTTTTATGTACAAAGACTTCATATCTGAATAATGGTACTTTATTTGGAGGAAATAACTAGTTGGTATTTTGATGTGATCTACTGAAAGAACCGCTACACCTCTTCTGAAAGAATGAGTAGATAAAACCCTCAAGATTATGGATAGATACTAACATCATTAGTGTTTTTTATTCATATTCAAAGCAACCAAATACATATTTGCATTGTATAGTTTGCCAAGGTAGAAAAGAATGAAATTATTAGGTCAAATGGGAGATCAGGTAGTTTTTTGCTAGATGAAGCATATAGTGAAAGTAAGAGGGGTAGTTTGGTCTGAAAGATGATTTCAGAGTTTCATACAGTTTACAACACTCAAAATTCTTCTATATCAGAGTTTCATACAGTTTACAACACTCAATTCTTCTATTTTTTTCCTTATTCAGGGCATAACACTGAAAGAATTTGACAGATTATCTTTTGATATGATTTTGATGAGTCCTCCCTGTCAGCCATTTACAAGGTAGATATAGCACACTTTGGAGAAAAGTGCAGTTGTTACAATATGTACTGTTAAAGGAGAAATGTTTTCAAGAGTGACGCTATGTGTGGTTCACCTGTGTATCTTTCTCTTTCTAAGCAACCACGTTGTAGCCCTACTCACCATGTGATTTACTGAAGTGGAAGAAATGCAGCAATTTGAATCTTGATCACATTTTTATAATGTATATTTTAATTCAGTTGAAATTAAGTAAGCTTCTTACAGCACATATTTTGCATACTGTATTGTTCCTCTAACAGTGAAATTCAAAGATTTTGCTGTTTAGGAGTGCTTCCTTTCCCTTTAGATATCAATCTAATCTTTCCCTGGGGCAACGCCAGAAGGAGTATTGGAATTTCTCACTTCTGCCTGAGACTGAGTGTAATCTGCTTTTATTTGTACTTTGAAAATCGCATGTGCACACAAGTAGTTTATTCTGAGGAATATTTCTGTTTTAGCCAAGACTAGAGGATAATGGCTTTGAAATGATTTTGTGGATGGTATAGAGAAATACCTTGCTAACCAAGAACTGAACTTACTGAGATGTTATTTGTCAGGTTAGTTTCAAATTCATATAGTTTGACAGCAGTGACCTGTGGAAGTAAGATTCTAGTAACTAATCATGTAAAGTAGTACCTTCATGAAAAATTCTGTTGGTGGTGATGAAACTGCTTATGGAAGAAAGTATATCTCAACGAATGTTCTAAAATTAAAAAGAAATCCCTCCAAAGTGGTGCTGATCTATAAAAATGTATTTGTGCAAACCTATGATGTATAAAGGAATCATTCCTTCAAAAATTTTTTTAATAATACTGTGGAAAAAATAAAATCTGTGTGACTAATTTAGAGACATGCTAAAGCTCTTCTACCAAGGCTTTATTCTTTTTAAGAGCTAATATAAGTTAGAGGAACACATGCCTGGAATCGTTATATTATGTTATTGTTTTCATAACCTATGTGAGCTGTCCAGTTTAATGTTACAAAATTGGTTACAAAGTTATTCATATGCAAAATGGTGAGCACTGAGGCTTTAATTCCTAGAAATAATTTAATATATTCAATATAAAATAGCTGGGTATTCCCAGGAACTTCAGATTTTTTTTTGTTCTTTCGGAGCCAAGTATGTTCAAGGGGTTTGCTGGACAAGACCAGAATGCTAAACGCTTTGCAGACTGGGGAGTGGGTTTCGTTACTGAATGCTCGATTTTAACCTTGCTGTGCGCTGATGGATTCCAGGGCAGACTTTCATTCCTTAGAGCATTTCTTAGGACACTGCCTGTGTGAACAGGTCCTCATGTCTGTACATGATGCTTTTGCAGAATCCCTTTTTGAAACTCAGAGCAAAAAATATCAGCATTCTGTAGAAAAATGTAAGTCAAATGTCAGTCTGCTCCAAGTAATACACAGGTGTTTCTTTATTCTTTCTTAGAATTGGCCTGCAAGGTGATGTGTCTGATCCACGGACAAAGAGCTTTCTCTATATCCTTGATATTCTCCCACGGTATAAATGAACTTCTACCTCAGTTCTTAAGCCTTTGATGTAACTAAGTAGGTGTTCTATATTGCAGCGAGACAAGTCATCTATAATGTTTTATAGGGATACTACTAGTATTGTGTTGTATTACTTGTTTGTTTTCACATGATCATATGTAACTTAAATACTTGTATTTTACTAATGCCATTATTGTCTCGTAGTTACTGTATATGCTTTCAGGGTTTCGTTTTCTTTTTTATTGTGTGTCTGTTTAAACTGTGGCTATATCATAAATGAAACAAATTGAGTTATTTACTTTCAGTTCAACATCAAACTTGCACTGACTTTATTTAGAAGCAGGAGTAGGTAATATAATAGTTTGCTAATGAGCATCATGGAAACATGAAAATTGTTTGAAATACCACATTGAAAAAGCTTTGATTCAACATTTAATCACCTTTTGAATAGGTAACATTTGAAAGAGTTTGTTTAAATATGTTACTGACTGCACAATACAATACATCTTCTGTCCCCTCCCATTCTTTCTTAGTGTCTATTCTGTCTTTTTGGTGCTGCTTCTAGATATCTTGGGGCAGCTTGTGTATTTTTGGTTTGTAGCACAATCTCTTGTTTTAAGTAGTAATACTAAAAAAATTGAATAGCACTGCACTGTCTGAACAGTGCCCTAGTCTTTGTGTTCATCTATCATTTTTGCCTGGTCAGACCCCAGTTCCTAATAAAATAGCCATAATTATTCATATTATTTATGCACTAAATTTTGAAACAGTAAATCCAAACGAAGTTGACTTTGCTTTCCTAAATTGTTCTTATTTAGAGTGTTAAAAATTAGCTCCAAGTAACGCTTGTAGTCTTTTCTGGGAAGAGATGTATAGCACTGTAAGAACCTTTCCTGGGGAAGTGAAGCAAGCAGTTGCTCAGGGAGATTATCCAGCAGAAATCTCTGCTTCTGGATTGAGATGTCCATTGGGCACCAATTGGCATGAGCCTGAGAATTTGCATCAGTTACAATCCACCAGACACTTACGTGGCAGTCCTGCTTCTGCTGGAGACTGAGACAGCTGCTCTCTATATATTCCTTCGTTGGTTAATCTTGCTCTCAGAATTGGAGGAGGACGAAGAAAGGTCTGGCTGGCTCTCTTTTTTTTCTTAATTTTTTTCTTTTTTTTTTTGTTTTGTTTTTAATGAATGCTGCCTGCACAGAAGGAAACCGGTACCAACAACAGGCTTTCTTTCAAACTGCTCTTACCACTGGGAGAAGAGGGTCTTCATCCTTCTTCCAGAAACAACTTTTTTGCAGCCAACAGCATTAAATGGGACCACCTCTTTGCCCTTGTCATCAGCAGATAGAGAACGCAGACACAGAAGGCTGAGTGGCTTGGCTGGGAACACCTAAGAAATCTGTGGCAGGGAACACAGAGCACAATACAGATTCTGTAGCCTAGTAAGTTAGACAATTAATAGGTAAAAAGAAAGATTATTATTACTTCTCAGCTTCTAGCAGAGGCACGAAAATAGGGAGATAACGTGGGTTTCCGAAAGTTGCAAAGGATGTCTTTTCTGGAACAAGGAATGTAACTCAGTCCTCCAGACTGACGTTTCAAAATGATAAATTAAAAACAGCAGATAGTGTGTAAGTTAATAATTTGTCAGAATAATAGTACCTTCCTTATCCTTAAGGCAATCCTGACCTCGGTATTCCTTTCTGTTAAACTGAGACACAGTTAAGAGGCTGGCTGCTTTTGGGACACTTGTGCATTAATATGGAAATGTTGCTTCCTAGTTGCTGTGGGCTTAGCTGGATAAAGGGCAGAAGCTTTTCCTTCTCAAAACCAAAGCTTTAGACACTGCAGGGCATACGTTTTTCGTCATGACGATGCAAAGGAGCTGGGCTTGGCTGTGGCACTTTATCTCAACACTCCATGAGACCCTGCTGACGTCCCTTATCTCCCTTGGGCAGGTTGTTTCTTGAGGCAGTACTTACACTAAGCAGTCTGTAATGTGTTCAAGATGGTGGCTTCTGCAGAGTTTCTCAGTTGCAATAGATTTATGTTTTACTGAGATAGTGTTTGTGTATTTTCTGGATATGACATGTTTGCCAGACATTAAGTATGGACTATTTCAGCCCAAAAAAGGGAAATTCTTAATACAGGAATTATCACTTTGCATTCTAAATTGGTATGGCGTGTGTTCAGTTTATGGAAACTATAAAATAATTTCTCACCCTTGGCTGTTCCTACCTTAGGTTCAGGCTTTTATAATGAAATGTCGCTGAAATGACGCTCAAAGATAGCCTGGGAAGACAAATATTAGAGATAATGGAAAGGACAATTTCAAGATCTGGAAAGGCCTGGGAAATCCTTGGAGCACCCAGGGGGCAAACAAAGTCTGATCTAAATGGTCCAGATTCTGTCTGTTTATCGTGTCCAAGCCATAACCCAGGGAAATCTAATACTAAGATGTCGAAGTGCTACTTTTACAGCCATGTTTGTAATGTTAATACCTGCCAAGTACTTAACACGTGCTCTTTGTATAGTGATTACTTGTCTTGTGATCTGTTGATCCTGTATGAGCTCTTGCATTTCAGGCTATGCTCTGGTTTCATTACTTTAAAAATAAGTTTCATAGTAGGTGATGATGATGTTGAGCGTAGGTAAACATACCAACAGATATATTCTCCATTCCTATGCAGGGAATTCGGCGGCTGCTGCTTTTTTTCAGTTCAGTATTTTTTTCACTATTATTTTTAGTGTTTTTAAATTTGACATAGTATCTTGTTCATTTTCCAATTTCTTGTGAAACGCTTTAGTTCTTTAATTCTTCGTGTGAATGTCTTTAACTGATGGTAGTTAAGAACGTGCTAAAACAAATTCTGCTGTGATTTGTACCAGTGGAAATCCAAAGTCACTTACTGACTTAAATAAGCATGAAGCTGCTGTCTGGTGGCATTAGTATCCTGTTTCTATATGCTGTTCTGAGATCCCAATGTGTGGCAGACACACTACGTCTACATTAGCCTTACTAGAGAATTAATCAGTGCCAGGGAATGTTCCCAGAGACTTGAATCTGAATCGTCTATGCTTCTAAATTGTTAGAATGGTCCCTGGCACAGTTTTGGGCATGTTCCTTTCTCCAGAGATTTAATAGGCTGTTTTTGGAATGAGCCTATTTCCAGACCTCTGCACTGATCTTGCTAAACCTCAGGCGCCTCCTTCCCCTCCCCCCATCAAAATGAAAAAGTTAAGTATAGAAAATTGAGAATGTCTGCAGTTTGAGCTCTAAGCATGTCGTATTTCTTAAAGCAGTTAGATGTATACTGGTTCTGATGTGTTATTGCTAAAGTTGATGCAACATTTTGACATTGATTTTGGGTTTAAGCACTTTAAAACAAAAGTTTTCTGTTCAATGGCTAAATAGTGATCTTTTTTTCCCCCCGACAGTTATCTTTCCTATTATAAACTCTTATCTGTTGAATAATAATACTATGCTTTAGGAAATGAACAGGGGTAAGCATTTTCAGAAGTACATGCATGGGCTACAGGAGGGTACAGCAGTCCATCTGAACATAAGTGGGTTTTGTTGGTTTTTATTATTACCAGCAGTCCACATTTTTAATTCAGTTGGAAATGATTTGGTCTAGGCAACCTTGAAAGTTGAGGTACATTTTTTTTAAGGATGCTAAACTTTAACAGCTGGCATGATGTGGAAATACTTTGATCTTTCTTGTAGCTAAACAAATCTGGGGATGAATATAATATAGTATACGTCTTATCACTCTGATTTGTTGATATTTTTTTTTTTCCTTGTAGGCTCCAGAAGCTTCCAAAATACCTACTTTTAGAAAATGTTAAAGGATTTGAATCCTCTTCTGCGAGGTAAAGCCTAATTTATATGCAGGTTTTAGTTTTTAACAAAGGACATTTTCTTTAGAAGGGGAAGGCAGGATTTTTATTTCCTAGAGTTTAAGTTAACAAAATAGTGCGAGATGGGACAGCTAGCAGCTGTGGGTTAAACATACTGTTTTAATTTAGGAATGAAAATCTGAGGTTGTGAAAGGAACTTGCTAAATAACTATTTCTTTCTCTAAGCAGATAAAATATGTTATAACAAGTTGACTCCATTGATTTTATTTGATGACCCTGTGTCCTTTAGAAAGGGTCAGTATTAATTTTCAAAGAAAAATAACAATAGGTATGGTACTCAGAGGTTTTGGGGTTTTATCCATGACAGGAGCTCATGGTATCTTGTGTTAAGATCACAGTACAGTACAGGGGCTTTCTTCAGTACCTTTGTTGATAGTAGGTTATCACTGGTTCAGGGTTGCCATCAAATGGTCCAGAGGTATAGTATGAAGACTGTATCTAACCTGTTTCTGAAATGTGGAAGAGGAAAGTTGTCAGTAAGGTTGCCTAATGACAGCAGGAGCATTCTCCTCTCTTGTGGGCAAAGCAGGAGACAGGGAGTTGTGGTCTTCCTTCTCATTTCTTGCTGGAATAGAGTAGGATCTTTCCATAGCATTCCTTAAAGCACTAAGAGAGCAGCCACCCTGCATATCATGCTCCTTAATGAATATGGCAGGCAGCTGGGAGGTATGTTCAGCTCTGTCACTGGTTAAGCATGCAGCGGTCCTCTGAACACTTGAACACTTTGTGGAGGTGCAGGCTGCTGCTGTAGACCCTGCGATTCCCTGGGCTATGCCTTGCTGGCTGGTGTTTGGAACAAGTAGTTCAGAAAACACCCCAGTCAGAACGCTTGCTTTCTCTTATAACCCTTGGGATGCAGCGTCACCTACAGTGCCAGGTACAGGTCCCAGCTCATGCTTTTTCTATAGTTCCAGCCTAGTGCAGTCTGCATGGAATAGAAAAGACATGTCTTTTTAAGAAGATTTCTGTTTCAGTGATTTTCCATTGTTTATAAAGTACAGTCCTACCTCACTGTTATTATCAAAGCCACCAATTTTTGTCATCCCTTGAGTTAGCCCTTTTGTTAAGCTTAGCTGATGGCATGTGTGTGAACAGAGGGAAGTAGTGAGCTATTTGTAGTGGTTTTAATCTCCTGTTTTATAATTTACAATAAATAGGATGTCTTGCCTTCTGATTATTTTCCTTGTTGACACACTGTAAGTACTCTCCAGAGATGGGATATTTTTTGAAGGGGTGGTGGCACCGAAGTAGGTGTGAGACACCTGTGAATGTGCAGTGGTCATTTTTGGCTACAGTAACACTGAACTTTGTATGTTGTCTCCTCAAGTTCAGAAATGGATGACTTCATATCTGTAATTCTCTGTCCAATTCTTTCACTGAATGTGCTGAATGTCTTGGTACTTAAGGTGTTGCATTTAATGTGTTTTTATTTAGGATAAAAAAGGGCCTAAAGGTTGTATGAAGGGAGTAATTGCTTTTTGATTCTTTTCACTGCTAGAAATGAACTTTTGCGAACACTAGAAAGATGTGGATTTAAATATCAAGAATTTCTTTTGTCTCCAACCTGTGTGAGTACTAAAATTGCTCTAATATTTAATTTTTCAAACTGTGCTGAGCCCAAGAACATTTGAAAATGATCTGTTGTATTAGAAGAGAGAGTCATGCCCCAGAGCTGAAGATACTCTTCTGAATGAGAAAGCCATCTGGCATGACTTCTGATTTCTCATCAGTATACTGGCATAATCATACTGCTGTTACTGTTCAGATCCTGGTCTCGTATTGCTTTGCTACCATTTGATATTTTTTAAGAAGGCATGAATTTACACCATGACCAGGAAGGTGGTTTTCCTTGCAGGAGCCTCATTGCTTCAGAAGTGCTGTGTGAATTTCTGTGAATTTCCAAGCACAGAAAATGTGACTGTGTCATTTGTGGGAGGAGGGGCTTTGTTTGCATGTTTCCCTGGCAACTGAAAAAAGAGTTGAGAGAGATTTCAGATTGTGCAAGACTAAATGGAATCAGTGAAGTACGCTATATATCTGAGAGAAGCTGGTAGAGGGTAGCTTGAAAACCAGTTGTGGTGCGTTTGTTTCGTTCTTAGATGTCTTATAATTCCTTGTTCAAAAAGGCAAGGAGACACCTTTTTGCTTTTTTATAGAAAACAGTTAGTACCTGTCGCAAGAAATTGTGATGCATGTCATTTTTCTTCTTGCCTTGCATAAAAGTTTGTTTACATTCCCGTTCATTTACAGAGAAAGTAAAAACCATGAGGTACAAAGAATAATTCCCCACTTGTTTCCTTGAAAATACCTAGGTATGGAAGTTATAAGTGTTCAGGTATTATCAATTAATACTGATATTTCTGAAGTCGCACAATATATTAGTGTGGCATAGTTCTATTACTGTATATAATGGTAGATAACTTGTATGACGCTATAGACCACTTTTTCTCTCTTTATCACATGGACTAAAGGCTTGTTGATTTTGCTTACAGCTTGGCATTCCCAATTCTAGGCTGCGATATTTTCTAATTGCAAAGCTTCACCAAGAACCATTTCCCTTTCAAGCTCCTGGTCAGGTGAGTCTATTAGCATTACTTGAATTTGCTTTGTTTCATGAAGATTGAGGGTTATGTTTTTGGTTTAGGTTTGTGTTGAGGAATGGAGAGAGGGATAAATGATATCAACAGAAAAGTTAAATTCCGTCTCTCTTTTTCTGCCTGGATACTGTTTTCTAAGGACTGCAATGCATGCCGGTGGCTTAGATGGCTTTTAAACAGTTGGGGGACAGTGGCTGATAGTGGGCTTAGAAAACAATGCATTCTGCTACCTTTTTCACACCCTTGGAAAGGTCTTTTTGCAAAGGCAGTTTATTTTTTATATTTTATATATTTTTTTATGTTGCTCAATGAAGTTACAAAGTGTCATGCATGACAGATCCATTCCTCATTTGCAGTTGTTCCTGATGTCATTGCTGGTAGGTCAGCAAGTCTTGATGCTAACATTTTTGAAATCTTCATGAAAATAGCATTGAATGGTTACTTGCTTTATTCTGTGGATCTCTGGAGGAATTTTTACTCACTGCAGAGTCTGCTGTCATGTTGTTTATCAAATGCAGTTCTTTAATTTTTTTTTCTCACAATTTGTTCTTAGATATTGACAAGATTCCCAGATCAGGATCTAGAAGACTTATTCAAGGACAAAGTCACTGACAAAGTGGGTGAAGCTGGTTCTTCCTTGTCTTCTGAGGAGAAGAATCTGGATCCAAACATTGGTCCTGATTGCAGCAGCAAGAAGAATTTACCAAAAGGGGCCTTTCTTTTTAAGCTTGAAACAGTAGAAGAAATTGAAAGGAAACATGGTCAGGACAATGATTCCTCTATTCAAATGCTAAAAGATTTCTTGGAAGAGGAAAATGAAGAAATGAGTCAGTATTTCTTACCACCGAAGTCCTTATTGCGCTATGCTTTCTTGTTAGACATTGTTAAGCCCACCTGCCGGAGATCCACATGCTTTACAAAAGGGTAAGTTGCAAAGAAAATGTCTTGCTGAATCACATTTTGAAATTTGAAGTGTGTTTTTGCTTGTGTACTGTAAAAACAAGGAGAGCCATTTCATCAAAAAAAACTCAGGCCTCTGGGAAAAAAAAAAAAATCTCCTTATATAGTGTGCTTCCTGGTCCAGTGGAATGCCAGCATGAGAATCTGTCTGGCAGAACATCATGTGCCCACTCCAAAAAGGCATTCACAAAAAACAGTGCCATTTGTTGTTGACCTTCACAGAAGCTTAATTACCCCTGCGGAAATATGGTTCCAATAGACTGGTATAGTACTGATTCATTAATGAATTTTTTTATATTGCTCAATGAAGTTACAAAGTGTCATGCATGACAGATCCATTCCTCATTAAAACTGTCTCCACTATACATTTTATTGATTTCTTGGATTTTTCAGCTGTGTAGGTCAGAACAGCTGTGGATTGGCCATATGTCATAAAACCAGTTAGGTTGCTGCATTACAAATCATATTTGATGGAGCAGAACATCAGTGCTTTTCTGTCTAGTAGTTTTCCGATTTGTACTTTGCAATTTTAAGTTTGACTGCCGGAGGTTGTTGAGTGTTCTGAAACCCCTCGGACAATCGGTCAGGAGCTTTTCCACTGAATGCATTTGTATTGGAAAATGCCAGTTGGAGCCTGGACGTTTGTGGGAAATGTTAATATTGGTGAATTTTTCAAATTAGATTGTTTTTTTGGAATTCTCGGAATGTTTCAACAAAATGGCTTAGTTGATGAGTTAAAGCTAGTTATAACTTTTTTTCTTTAATTAGTAGAAATTAGACTGCCAGATTGACAGGGTTCCTGCAGATTTTGTAATGTCAACTTTTTGACAATAAAAAAAGCTGAGAAGGAATTTCAAAAGTTGAAAACTTGTGCAACAGGAAAGCCCTTCCCCTAGCTCTCACTGACTTCAGCCTTTTCTGTCCTCACTCTTTTGAGTTGTGAGGGAGTGTCAGCATCTCCTGGGATCTGTTTCTTATCTACAGTAGTCAAATAAAAATCTTAGGCCAGAATGATCTCTTATGTATCTCATGTATGCCTTAAGTGTCACCAAAAATAAATTGGCCACTTGTGGTTTTACTAGAATACGTCATGGTAGTTTGTGATCATGTTTATCAAAATCACACTGAAGGAGGCTCCTGAGTAGTTCACATGAAGTCTTTATATATAGCGGTGGGAAACCTGACACAGAACGTGACTGTTGCCCTTCTGCTGATGTGGAAGGAGCCAGGCCAGATAGTTGTGGTAGTTCTTGGCTCAAAACGTAGGAATCTGATTTACCGTCTTTGTTCCCTTTTTAAGAGCCTTTGGGAAGGAAAGTTTCCAATGTGGTTCTCAATGTGGTCGTATAATTTACAGCTCTACATTAAGAGAAGGATTATAATTACATCTCAGGCTTCATCCAGGTCACGTTCTGAGGCCAAGAATAAGTTGCTGCTGTTCTAGGAGTTCTGTTTTTATGTTTCTCTGAAGCATCAGATTTAAGAAAGAGGACGCTGAATGGAGCAGAACAGCACTCCAAGTAGTACAGAGAATCCCTCTGCTGAGATGCCTATCTGATGTCTTTCTTACAAATTATACTGATCATCAGCTTTGAGCCTGGGAGAAAAACTTCCCTCAGTTCTGACTGACCTTCAGGTATTTCCAGCAAGGTTCGTGTGATGAGGATAATCTGGGTATGCCTTCTCCAGTCCTTGCTAATTCAGGGACCTCAAACACCGATATTTCATCAGTGTGTTTTGCCTTTCTGCCTTTGTCATACCAGTATGTCTTCTGAAAGGCTTTGGTGTAGTATAGGGCAAAATGCGTGAGAGATCAAGCAGATGATCCCGTGTTCCCTTCCGACCTTGGACTCCTAGGCAATTGGAAAATGATTGCTGAGTTCCTTGAGACTACAAACGCCATGATTTGTCTTAGGAGCATGTTTGTGGTGACTGAAGTCGTGAGAGGAAATTGTCCATTTTAAAGGACAGAGCAAACGAGAACTAATTCTCTAGATACAATAATTCTGGACTTACTTTTAAGTTCTTGATATGCCATTGACAAGAGAAGCAATACCTTCTAAAATAGTGTAATATTAGTTACAGAAACTCTCTCCAGTGTTGTGGAAATTACCTTTTTGTTAGTCATAATATAGGACACAGTATACCCAGAAATAATATATTATGTGTATGAAGCTAAGAGGTTTTTTTGAAAGCTTGCAGAAATAAAGAGAGGGGAAAAAAAATCTTGCGTCAGATGAAAATTTAAGATTGTAATTTCTTAAACCAACTTCTTTCATTATAACTGGTAATGAAATCTCAGAAAATCAATGCATCATTTTTTACTGTGGCAAACATTCCCATCTTTAATTATGTTCTGAGTCCAAGGTAGGAATGTTAATTTAATAAAGAGAGGGGAAAAAAAATCTTGCGTCAATTTAAGATTTAAGATTGTAATTTCTTAAACCAACTTCTTTCATTATAATGAAATCTGAAATCTCAGAAAATCAATGCATCATTTTTTACTGTGGCAAACATTCCCATCTTTAATTATGTTCTGAGTCCAAGGTAGGAATGTTAATTTTTCTGTAGTCAGCAGCTGCAATAATAATTAATAACAATCCAGCTAACATTGGCCATCTGCCCACATTTGTGTTAAAAAACCAACCCCCCGCCATGTCCCCAAACCACTTTTTTACACCAACTGGATTTTTTTTGTGATGAGTTCTCTACTCTAGTGCCAATTATTTAGACTGGAGTATATAACATGGATCCTATTAAAAGATTCTTTTCCCCCAATAAAACTCTAAAATACTACTTTGAAATTTATCCTCATTTATTTATTTTGGCTCAGATATATTCATCTGAAATACAGTCAAATGCTACATAAGATGATGATCAGGATTCCTCAGTGCTATGTGTTACATTGTTAAACGTGGTGTTAGGGAATTTTCAGAATGCAACTAACCAATTAAAGGTGATGTGTTTACAACACAGTTTGATTCTATGTGTTTTTAGTCTGTATCAGTGTTTAGGGCCTTTTGTTCTGATCCTAGGGAAGATTTGCAAGCACTTTATTTTGAAATGAGTGTTGCTCTCACTTATAGTGGCAGAACTACTCGAAAGCTTTTCCAACTGAAGAAGAAATTCTCAAGATTGAGCCGTACCGGGTCACTGTGTCTGTGCTGAAGGGAGAGTATTCCTTTATTCATTGTAGAATTAGAAAGGCTTGAAACAAAAATTGTTCCAGTGCTTGTCTGGAAGCAGTCCCTTGCTTCAGAATGGGCCCCAAATGGAGCAAAAGCCCTTTATAACTGTCTTTACAGATGAGCAGATAAAACTAGAGAATGGTATCTGTTAATGGTTGATGCAGACCACATCGCTCCAATGCGGGGGATCTTCTGAAGTTCTTCCACTGTGCAAAAGCCATCTGCTGACTTGACTTAGTCTCTTTCTGTTCAGGACGTTCAAACGCTATCATAGTTAGACCAGCAGAGCATGTTTCTGAAAGCCCATAATTATATTTAAATGATAGCCTGGAAGAGACTACAGGGTAAACACGCTGTTATGCGATCAACCACAAAGCATCCAAAAAAGCTGTCATATGACTTTAGAATGTAAGTTTGCTTACTGTTTAGTTGGATTTAATTTTTTTCTTTCTTTCTCCTTTTTCTTTCTTTCTTCTACTGCTCTGCATAGATGCCTGGCCATTCCCCATCCCTTACCTCTGCAAAATCCACAAGCAGCCAAAAGTTAAACCTGACTGAACCACTTTGTTCCTAATGGGTTGATATAAAAGCTGGAGGCTCACACTAATGGTCCTCCTTTGAATATGGATAGCCGATTTGAACCCCTAGGACCATTTGGCCTTTAATGCATTTTCCCTTAATGTAAAATTGGTTTGTGCAATGTAGATGGCCCTTTCTGATGATGCTATGCTTGAATTCCTTGGCCTTGTATAGTTGCCTAGTTGCCTTATGTAAGGCATTAGTGTGGATAAATCCTTGTGCGTTGATTGCAGACTTATCCCCGGAGAGCATGTTCAGAGTCTACTGTGCTCCAAGGGTTAGCATTGTTAATAACAAGGCCTTTTGCTTTATCTGACCAGGAGGCGATTTGTTAATCAAAGCAAAGGAACCAAAGTAACCTCCCTGCATCTTTGCAGTTGTCAGTACTATGAGGTCCAATGAAAATACTAATTTAAGATTGTTATTGTTGTTGTCAAGGTACGGACACTATGTAGAAGGGACAGGCTCAGTTCTGCAGACAGCAGTAGATGTACAGGTAAGAATGTGTAGACTAACGTACGAGAGTGACTTGTTTCAAAACTTGTTTTTTTGTCTTCTGCTTTGTTATTCTGAATATTATGACAAAAAAACTTTTAAAACTATACTTTATGGCAACTGAGTTTCCAATTGATTTACTTTGCATTCCTAAACAACAGTTTATTTAAATGAAGATTATATGTGTGCCTCTCTCTGTGGAAAATATAAGTTGCTATTATTTTATCATCTGTAGTATCATACAGAGATTTCACAGGGGTATGTGAAAACATTAAAAATGACTAATTCTATGGATAAACTACAGTACAGTGTTGTGAATCTGGGGCCATTTTTGTACACAGATGATCTAGTAAATATTGACAAATGTTTAGCATGTTTGAATTTCAAAAGTATTAGTTATCTGGGAAGACATAATATTTTGAAAAGTTCTACTGTTGGTACCAAGTTCACTGCAAAGTGGTGTTTTGGCATTGGGGAAGGTAAAAATAAATGTATTAGTGAATCATCATTCAAAAACACTTTTCACAAAGTCTGTTTTGTACACAAGCACTGCCTCCTGCACTTCTGTGCTGTTCACTGATACTATATGGCATTTCTAACCATAGGAAGAACGCAGCTTTGGAACTCAGGATAATCTCAAAGTGAATGTATTAAAACAGCTACATCCATACAGCTTAATTTGTGTGGATGGTCTGCTATTGAGTTACATTAAGTCACTATTCTGTCATTAGCAAAAGTGTATAGTCCTTTGATTGCCTCATTAAGTATTGGTATAGCTTGTAACTGGAGGAAGAAATGATGAATGCCCTCATGGCAACATTGATTTCTTTCTTGCAAGTCCATGTGTTGAGGTATTGGCTGCAAAAATACACCACCAATCATACTTTCAAGCAAAACATGCTATTGTCTTCAGCACTGTGCTAATCAAAGAAATATTCTGTTAAGATGTGAGTGTTAAATTTTACGTATTTGGCCTGCGTCAGTGATACCTGTTGTTTTGGATGTTCTTCATAGCTTGAATCAGTGTTTAAATGCATTGGGGAGTTACCAGAAAAAGAGAAGCTTATGAAATTGTCAACACTAAAACTGAGGTACTTTACCCCAAGAGAAATAGCAAATCTTCATGGATTCCCTCTGGAATTTGGTATGTGCTGCAAAGTACCCATTTCTGCGTCATTCTTCAGAAATGCCAATGTGGTTTTTTACTGGGGACTAATCCATGCTTTTTAAAATGCATTGGGGAGTTACCAGAAAAAGAGAAGCTTATGAAATTGTCAACACTAAAACTGAGGTACTTTACCCCAAGAGAAATAGCAAATCTTCATGGATTCCCTCTGGAATTTGGTATGTGCTGCAAAGTACCCATTTCTGCGTCATTCTTCAGAAATGCCAATGTGGTTTTTTACTGGGGACTAATCCATGCTTTTTATTTTGCCCCCTTTTTTTTTTTTTTTTTTTTTTTTTGGCCCCCCCATTCTTTAACATTTTTTTTTTTTATTTG